TAAAGTCACCAGCTTAGTCATGTAATTGTTGTATTTTATCTCTGGGCATGTTACAATGACTGCAGCATCAGAGAATGGACAAAATGAATTTATCTGGTTTTGGTTGATTTTTGATTTGCTTATATATACATCTAGAGATCCACTTTGGATATTGCTATCATATCTGGTCTAGTAATCTGGGTATATATCTTAGGATTCTCAACAAAATCCAAAGAAGTGTATGCAATGTTATTGATTCTGACCTGGCATCTCAACTTCAGAAAGCTTTCCCAACCAGGATGTAAGAAATGAAATAAACTAATAATAACAAAGAGACCAAAATTCCACCATCTCTAAAAATAGTTCAACCAATCAATCAGAAAGACTTCAGAACTAAGATAAAAGGCCACAAGCCAATGATAAGCAGAGCAGCACTTTCAAAAGAGGATGATAAACACTGAGATATCTCAGGAGAGAAGGTTTCAATGGGAATAGAGAAAGTTTAAACAATGTATTTTAATATTAATATTAGCTGTTTCCTTATATGGAAACATCTAACCACCAGTGCTACTTTCAGTTGAAGTTTCTAAAATCTTTCTCTTAAAACAATCCTTCAGGAAAATACGTTCATGAAGTACACTTATCACTCTTTCCAGTATTGATGGAGGTTTCCTTTCTATCTTTGTGTTTGAAGTAGTGTGAAACATCATCTTCATGATGTAAGTTGAAGAGAAAATAATGACATGTGCTATAGATTTTAGTTGTTGATACTGTTGAAAGTCTTCATGTAATGTGATTTCTATTATTTGGTACAGTTCTTTGTTTGTGATTCTATTTCCACAAGGTTCAAAGAAGGATGATCTTTGCCCTCAGGCTTCATTATTTTCTCTTTTGACTTACATATGATATCCATTTTAGTTGTTGTTGCTGTTGAAAGTCCTCAAGTGATGTGGTTTCTGTTATTTGGTACAGTTCTTTTGTTTGGATTCTATAAAACCAGTCCACAAGGTTCAAAAAGGATGATCTTTGCCAAGACACTCAGGCTTCATTATTTTCTCTTTGACTTACATGTGATATCCATTTTAGTTGTTGCTGCTGTTGAAAGTCCTCAAGTGATGTGGTTTCTGTTATTTGGTACAGTTCTTTGTTTCAGGATTCTGTTGCACCAGTCCACAAGGTTCAAAGAAGGATGATCTTTGCCAAGACACTCAGTCTTCAGTATTTTCTTCTTTGACTTACATGTGATATCCATTTTAGTTGTTGCTGCTGTTGAAAGTCCTCAATGATGTGGTTTCTGTTATTTGGTACAGTTCTTTGTTTGTGATTCTGTTGCACCAACAAGGTTCAAAGAAGGATGATCTTTGCCAAGACACTCAGGCTTCATTATTTTCTTTTGATGTGATATCCATTTTAGTTGTTGCTTGTTGAAAGTCCCTCAAGTGATGTGGTTTCTGTTATTTGGTACAGTTCTTTGTTTGTGATTCTGTTGCACCAGTCCACAAGGTTCAAAGAAGGATGATCTTTGCCAAGATAGTCTTAGTATTTTCTCTTTGATATATGTGATATCCATTTTAGTTGTTGCTGCTGTTGAAAGTCCTCAAGTGATGTGGTTTCTGTTAATTACAGTTCTTTGTTTGTGATTTTTGCACCAGTCCACAAGGTTCAAAGAAGGATGATCTTAAAGACACTCAGGCTTCATTATTTTCTCTTTGACTTACATGTGATATCCATTTTAGTTGTTGCTGCTGTTGAAAGTCCTCAAGTGATGTGGTTTCTGTTATTTGGTACAGTTCTTTGTTTGTGAATGGACCAGTCCACAAGGTTCAAAGAAGGATGATCTTTGCCAAGACACACATTTTCATTATTTTTATTTGACATCATGTGATATCCATTTTAGTTGTTGCTGCTGTTGAAAGTCCTCAAGTGATGTGGTTTCTGTTATTTGGTACAGTTCTTTGTTTGTGATTCTGTTGCACCAGTCCACAAGGTTCAAAGAAGGATGATCTTGCCAAGATTCAGGCTTCATTATTTTTCTTTGAGAGCATGTGATATCCATTTTAGTTGTTGCTGCTGTTGAAAGTCCTCAAGTGATGTGGTTTCTGTTATTTGGTACAGTTCTTTGTTTGTGATTCTGTTGCACCAGTCCACAAGGTTCAAAGAAGGATGATCTTTGCCAAGACACTCAGGCTTCATTATTTTCTCTTTGACTTACATGTGATATCCATTTTAGTTGTTGCTGCTGTTGAAAGTCCAATGATGTGGTTTCTGTTATTTGGTACAGTTCTTTGTTTGTGATTCTGTAGCACCAGTCCACAAGGTTCAAAAGGATGATCTTTGCCAAGACACTCAGTCTTCAGTATTTTCTCTTTGACTTAATGTGATATCCATTTTAAAAGAGCACCAGAGGTTCAAAGAAGGATGAAACAAGACACTCAGTCTTCAGTAGAGAAGGTTTGTTGAAATTCAAGTGATGTGGTTTCTGTTATTTCCACAGTTCTTTGTTTGTGATTCTGTAACCAGTCCACAAGGAAGAATTTTGCCAAGACACTCAGTCTTCAGTATTTTTTCTTTGACTTCCATGTGATATCCATTTTAGTTGTTGCTGCTGTTGAAAGTCCTCAAGTGATGTGGTTTCTGTTATTTGGCACAGTTCTTTGTTTGTGATTCTAGCACCAGTCCACAAGGTTCAAAGAAGGATGATCTTTGCCAAGACACTCAGTCTTCAGTATTTTCTCTTTGACTTACATGTGATATCCATTTTAGTTGTTGCTGCTGTTGAAAGTCCTCAAGTGATGTGGTTTCTGTTATTTGGTACAGTTCTTTGTTTGTGATTCTGTAGCACCAGTCCACAAGGTTCAAAGAAGGATGATCTTTTGCCAAGACACTCAGTCTTCAGTATTTTTCTCTTTGACTTCCATGTGATATCCATTTTAGTTGTTGCTGCTGTTTCCTCAAGTGATGTGGTTTCTGTTATTTGGTACAGTTCTTTGTTTGTGATTCTGTATCACCAGTCCACAAGGTTCAAAGAAGGATGATCTTTGCCAAGACACTCAGTCTTCAGTATTTTCTCTTTTGACATGTGATATCCATTTTAGTTGTTGCTGCTGTTGAAAGTCCTCAAGTGATGTGGTTTCTGTTATTTGGTACAGTTCTTTGTTTGTGATTCTGTAGCACCAGTCCACAAGGTTCAAAGAAGGATGATCTTTGCCAAGACACTCAGTCTTCAGTATTTTCTCTTTGACTTACATGTGATATCCATTTTAGTTGTTGCTGCTGTTGAAAGTCCTCAAGTGATGTGGTTTCTGTTATTTGGTACAGTTCTTTGTTTGTGATTCTGTAGCACCAGTCCACAAGGTTCAAAGAAGGATGATCTTTGCCAAGACACTCAGTCTTCAGTATTTTCTCTTTGACTTCCATGTGATATCCATTTTAGTTGTTGCTGCTGTTGAAAGTCCTCAAGTGATGTGGTTTCTGTTATTTGGTACAGTTCTTTGTTTGTGATTCTGTAGCACCAGTCCACAAGGTTCAAAGAAGGATGATCTTTGCCAAGACACTCAGTCTTCAGTATTTTCTCTTTGACTTACATGTGATATCCATTTTAGTTG